CCCCAAAACCCCAAAACCCCAAAACCCCAAAACCCCAAAACCCCAAAACCCCTAAATTTTATAATAATATTGTTATAATATAATAAAATGTTTAGGAGGATCATCTTCCACCGACTCGAGAGGTTCACCCTCGGCACCATTGCTCCCACCTTCAGAAACCTCGGCCAAAATCTCTTCAAAACAGGTTCCCAAATTTGTGGTCCTGACAGCCACTCTGACCAGCTAGTCCGGTCCATGAGGTGCGTCCCTATCAATAACACAGTTTATCCCAAGCTGCTGACTGCCGACTGGGTCGCTCCGAATGCTACCATAATTGGAGACGTTGAAGTTGACGCTGGAAGCTCCATTTGGCACACAGCTGTGCTCAGAGGTGACACTGCCAAAATCAGAGTCGGAAAGAACAGCCTCATACAAGACAGAGCCATTCTCAAAAGCTCCAACATTACAGACTCTGAAATCAGTATCGGAGACAATGTGTTCGTGGGACCCAACACTCAGCTCGATGCATGCACTCTGGACGATTTCTCATTCGTCGGAATGGGTGCTACTATTGGAAGAGGTGTTGTTGTTGAGCCTTACGCTGTCGTAGCTGCTGGCTCAGTGGTTCCAGAGGGCACAGTGGTCCCATCAGGCCAAGTCTGGGCAGGCCACCCAGCTCAGTATCTCCGAGACCTGACTCAAGAAGAAAAACACCAGATTGCTGAAAACCTCATTGAACTCCAACAGCTTTCTCAACTTTATTGCGAAGAAACTGAGAAAAGTTTCCGTGAGCAGCAAGACCACATTGAAGACGACTTGCTGCGTGCCACCAGCTTTAGCGAAGAGGTGCGTGGCCTTGCTCACAAAGAAGCCGGTCTTCCAATCGACAAAGACGACGCCCAATACATTTCAGACCCAAGGGTGCCCAACATCTCGATTGAGCCTGACCAGGGAGATCGCACCTGGAGTCCTTACGAACAAGATCTGAGCAGGTTCCCTGAAATATTCAAAATGTACGGAGAGAACTTTGACAGATATGAGCAAGTCAAGAAGAGATTCGAGACCGAGCAGCCGGGAGAACAGATGGGAGAACACCCAATCAATCCACAGAAGCCAACGGACCAGTCTCCTTGGGAGAAGAGGTACGATGACTACATGCCAAGGCACAAAGGACAACTTTTGCAGTAAATTGAAGCATGAGCGAACTTGGAATAATTTTAACTTCAATTTGCCATTTTGGAAGGGGTTTTGGGGTTTTGGGGTTTTGGGGTTTTGGGGTTTTGGGG